AAGGGTAGACATAACTAAGCATTTGCACTGAGGCTGCTAAGAACTTTTAGCCTACGTGGCATCACAGTGACGTGTGGCTGTTACTGAGACATTGATTTGTATGCTATTTATAAGTATATAAACACTGTTATAATCAGATTAGTAGAACTTGAGCTGTTCTCAAAAGACCAATGTGTTTGTTTTCTGGAAACCATTTTCTATGAAGAAATAACTAGTAGATCCCATAGATCTGTCTGTTAGCCCATCAGGCTATTTTGCTGCAGCATAATACTTTACATTTCTAATAATGTCAGCAGGATATGGCTGGACTTATTTCAGTAGGCATTTACCAATATAACTTTCTTTAAGTTTTCACAATGGGCTCTTTTTCCCTCTTTATTCATTCCTGCCATGCCTTTTCTTTCATGTTTTCAATCCTGGAATACTGAAATGGTAATGCACCTTAAGCACTGGCAAGGGCATCGATTTATTTTTCAAATGGTATTGATAGTCTCTCCTGTGGTTTTAAACACATTGCCTAAAGTGTCATAAAAATAATTGCAGTTTCTGAAAAAATGTTCTTTATTTTTGAACAAAATATCTACATTGACATGGGTAACACCATAAATTTCACATATTTTAAGACTTCTGTCTGCAGAAAATGTCAGTTTAAGTGCAATATGATACTATAATACAATGAAAAGAACTTTAATCAAATCCATGCATAACACATTAATAGTTTTACCAAAAAGGAAGTATTTGAGATGAAATTGCCAGTGGATGTTACTAGACAGAATTCATAGGAGAGCATGTTTAAAACTCACAGACAAGTTATTAGTACACTATATATTTTTCCCTTTATTTTTTTTTCTGTATCCTTTAAAAATTTGGGATCACTAGCACACAAAATATGTATATAATGTTAAAACTTTATAGCAAAAGCTTATGGCACAATTATTATTATTTTTTTTAATACAGCTCACAATTACACATTCCTGGAACATCAGTAACTTTTTCAGTCCATTTTGTCCATTAACATCACTCTGTTATGCAACAAAATATAAACATAATAAATGTTTATTGCATATTTCACAAAGATAAAAGTGAAGAAGTGCAGTAATATTCAAGAATGTCAAGAATACATTATGAGCCAACATTTTCCTGGCATTTAACCCACTGCTTCTAGCAATCTAACCTGCTTCCACAAGCCTTCCAAACTGATAATATTTCAGTCACTACTGTAGGTGATGTGTGTTGCCTGAAGGCACCTTTTCCATAACCACTTAAAAATAAAACACCTATTTTATTATTAACAAGTAGCTTAGTTTGTGATTTATATCTTTTTCTTATTAGTTTTCTCAAAAAGGATAAAATTATGATGATTTGATATTGTTCTGATTGTATAGTAAGATGTGGAAAAAATTATTTTATTACCTGCCAGGGGTACTTTGAAAATTAATAGCTCACTCAGCAGTTTCACAGTATAAGGCCAAATTCTGCTCTGTTGGATTGCATTAATTCCTACGAAAGCTCAAAGGAGAGCAGAAATTACACATAAAATATATCTACTTTTTGCAACAAAACATCTCAGCTTGGGCTGGGTACTATATAGATAAGTCCACTTCCATCTAATATAAAATTATTGCTAAAAATAATAAATTTAATTTTTTTAAGGATAAGGAAGACTTTCCCTCCTATCAAAAATATAAGGTTTTGTACAGTTTTTCTTATCTACATTAGCAACCTACAGTTCTCTATTGGCTTATAGTACAAAGTGGAAGCAATAGCTAATTTCTTTAATGTAAAGTGCACAGCTAAATCACCTAAATATAATACTTTCTAATGATTAAAGAGCATTATTTCTCACAGATCACAATGGATTTGTTATAAAGGAGTCTATAAAAAGTTTATGGAACCAATTCTAATGAAGAGAATGGAATGAAAACTAATATATCATTAAACTGAAAATGATAATTAAATCCCGTGTTCTTCCTGCATCTGTCTAACCTAGTTAAGTAGTAGTACTTGCTGTCAAAATTCCTTAAAAGGAATATGTACTTTATTTAAAAATAGCTAAATTCCAAATAGTATAACACTATTATTTCTTCTTTCCTCTCTCCCTCAATGCACCTCTAACTTATCAACATTATTGAGAAAAAAGACAACCCTCTATTTCTCTGATATTTGAATATGGTCTTAAAAATAAGATGCATTTTGCTATGTGAAATTTAAGTGGGAATTTGGTAGTTGAATATATCCGCTGCACCTTTGAGTGATGTTTCTTATCCTTTTTAGGACCTGAAGCTTTTGGCTTTACTGAGGCAAGCATGGTTTAGGTCACATATCTCTAGTCAGTGGTGAGGAACAGACATTCTTGCCTTCAATCATCTTATAATCTCAACTGACATTTCTGTCTTTTTCTACTTGTGACTTCATCCTAAATCATTTAGGAATAATCTAAATGAAGTTTAAATCTATTTTGGTATACCCAGTATTTAGTATATCGCAGAGGCTTCCGTTATGTTGACAAATGTTATGGTTCCTGTTAAAAAAAAAATCAGTGGAGAGATCTTGGTTACATTACATCGGAATTGAAAATCTTTATTTAACTCAGGTTCAGATTACGGGCCAAATGCATTTACATTTGAAAACATCATTATGGAACCATTTTTCATTTCTCCCCTATTTGAAATTCTTTTCTTACTAATATATTACTTAATACAGCAATACAGCAAAGCTGTAGAGTTTTTATGCTATAAAAATATTTAAATCTCTTTACTTTCAATATGCCTTCTTAGAAAACTGAACACTATATGTAAGTTTTCTGCTTTGCTTTCCTATGTAATGGCTAGAAAGCAGAATAACTAGGAGTTAGAATTATTAGCAGTTATTCTGATCTGGCTTTATGCACATACCACTTCAATTAAGAATTCTTTATTGAAGAATCCAGCTGTTTTGTAGGGAAAGAATTGAGATAAGCCAATTTTTAATATGATTGCTTATTGATTATGAGTCCAGTCCAGTACTTTAAACAGTTCTTAAAAAGAGACTTTGACTTGACTGTTGACTAGAATAAATTAATATCCCTTTTCATATGACACATTTTATGACAATTTTAAGGGAGAAAAATATAATCTGACTAGTTATGAACACTAGTTCATAATACATGGATGAGCACCTGTGTTCATAAATGAATGGGATTTGTTATAAATACATTTATAAATTCATAAATATGAAGAAGTAATAAAAAATAGTAAGTAATAAAAAAATATTATTTGAAGTGAATTGAGTTCATGTCAGATCATAAAAGAAGAAAAACTATTAAAAATACTTTTAAAAATATTATTCTTAAAATAATAGCGTTTAAACTGAAGGAGGGTTATAAATTTTCTGACACAGCTGAATAAAATCTGAGAGCAACTATTTTAGAATCTCTCTAACTAATCCTTGGAGGAAAACAACAACAAATTCAACCAAACCCAAGGTTGCTATGTTATAATCCTCAGTGCAGAGTTACACTGCTTCCATTACTTCATGTGCAACATGCCTTTGGCAGTGCACCAGATGTTTGCCTCCAGCTGTATTTTGCTCTGTATACACATTCTGAGCAATAATGAAGCAAAAATTCAAAACATGTTCAAAACAGAAATATTTTGCAATGAGAAACAGCCTCGTTTACTGGACTTTTACGTAATGAGTAGTTCTAAATATTAGATTTATATCTTAGCATATTGTTGTTTTTCAGTGGAAAAGAATGGCAAGACTGAGCACCTGTCTACAAATGTCATAAATATGACCTATTGTCTTATAACTTAAGGAAGAAATTATTGACTGATTTAGTCCCAAAAAAAGGAAAATGTCTCTTAGTATCAATAGGTTTTCTATTTATTACATGAAACATAAATAATGTAAAAAACCATTCAGGTCCCTTTTCATGTTTTAGAAGGGCTACATGCTTTTTTTCCAAAATTGTGAAGTGTTAACTAATCAATGCCTCAATCATATATATATACTTAAAGAATACTCCAGAAAACTACTATACGATCTACTCCTACATAAATCTTCCTGTGATATATGTAACATGTAGGAAATGTATATGGATAAACACAGTTGTAATCATCCTCATAATATTTCAGTGAAGCAGTTGATTATTTGCCATTTGTTTTGATCCCATATGTCTTTGCACTGAATTAAAATGAAGCGTTGCAAAATTTTGATGTAGTTTGTCTATCTCTAATACTGCATGAGTTTTGTCAATTAAGAAAAAAAATTGAACTTAAAATATTTTTAAATCCTTTTTATAGTTGCCAAAGTACAGGTAATTAAAAGAAAAAAAGTCTTTTGCAGGAATCGATAGTTTAGAAATGTTGATGCATCTTCCAGGTGATATATAGACTATAACTGTAAATATTTTGTGTTAGCTGAGATTATTTCAACTCATACCACCCAGGAGATTGATAAGAAGCATACTGAATAAATTATATTAATTAAATGTGTCAACTGTGCTCATTGCAGGTCCTGTCCTTAGGACAAGACAGAGTCTTTAAAAATCTAAACTCAAGTAATTTATCGTTATCTTGTAAAACTGAAATAAAGGTAGCAAATTCTAGTATATTCTCTAGTACTATGGGATTTACATAGACTATTCTAGATTTGGGATCCTTTTTTTTTTTTATTTAAAATACATGAGAGTTTAAAAACATTAATAAACATCAAATAGTACTGTACAATTATACTACTATGTAACAGTATGTATAAACACTTGGCAGTAAAGCTTGAGCAGAGAGTGATTTACGATGAGTTGCTAACATTTGATCTAGAAAGTTTGCAGTTGCAGGTGTCTTCTCTTGTGTCATTCTTCCACTGCACTGTGAATGGGCATTTCAAACTAGGCAGGATCTGTTTCCCCTCCTCTGTGCTTTTTGCTTTTTACCAGTCACTTCTCACTCACGTGTTTATCTCAGAAAGCCTCCTGTTGATCATGGCAGACAGATCTCTATTGACTGCAAGGCTCAATCTTGTTATTGGTGAATGTCTTCGTGCCTTATGATTTTGTAAATTACCCAGTAAAAAATGTTGAAAATCAGAAAAGCTAATGGAAAACAAGCTCTGGAAATTGTGTCTATCTTCTTGGCTCGGTCAATGAATACTTTTCTCATCTCATCAGGGCTTTTAGGTACAGCTTGAGCAGGATTATTTGGCCCCTTCTGTGCCACTCCATCTTTTGCTTGCAGACATGGCCCCACTCCATATGCTGTAAAACTGAACTGACTTTCCCGTGCATCGTCATCCTGTTGCATAAAAAAAAAAAAAAGAACAAAAACAAACAAACAAAAAAACAACCACCAAGATTTTACAGAAATCTTACCAGCTACTAAATATCATTTACTATATCTTTACCTCAGTAACATTTTTGAATCCACTGTTAAAGTGGTTGAAATTTCAGCCCAATCAAAGTTCATGTCAAAATATTGTTGCAGCTCTAATGAGCACAGAATTTTTCTACTTGTTTGACTTCGTAATCTATTTAGAGAAAAGAGAAAGCTTAGAAAATGAGTTTACTGGCTTAGGAAACTAGTGATAATCAGGCACACATCTTCTGATTTGTTTTGATTTGTGAAGATTTGCCTGCAATCTTCAACTGGGAAGACTTCAGAGTTCTTTCAGACAGCAGCCCTTAACTCTATGTTGCTTAAAAGGGTGGGATGGCTTCTTGTGATACCTATCACACAAGCAGTAACAGTGTTCATTAGTGAGAATTCTGCCTATTTTATCTTTGTCTTTTGTTATTTCTGCTGTTCTCTGTATGTCAGATAAAGTGAATAGTATGTAAAGTATCTTAGTTTGGAATAGAAATAATATAATATATTTAAAATAAAGTTAGTATCTTAAAAATATATAAAATAAATTTTAAAACAAAATAAATGAAAGCTGAAGGCCAGAATTTTGATTTGACAATTAAGGTGAAAACTGTCAAAAACATTCTGAATTCAGGGAGCTGTGAATGGAAGCAGTTTAAAATTGCAAGACACAAACCCTCTTGAAGATATATGTATTTTCATAGCATAGATATCTGGAATGTAGCTTCTGTCTGGAAACACATTTTGTACATCTCTCTACCCTGTTATAAATATTCTCTATAAAGCAGGCACAAATACAGAGTGGTAAATAATACCTGGACTGTGAAGCCAGCACCAAATTTTGTTTTGAAATACATTTCAACATAGATTTCTAGTGAGTATGCTACTCAAAGATAGTTCTATGATTTTGATGGCATTCACAATTTAAAAAAAATCTTTCCTATTTTTTATGTCTAATTATCCTACTTGGTTTAACATTCTAGAATTCTGTAAATCATGACAAAATATAATGCATTATTTCCTTAAAAAATTCTTTAAAAATTTTTTTAACGTTTTATTTCTTTTTTGGAAATCCACTTCTGTAACTATTCAAACAAAGGGGAGAAGCAGTCAATTTTTTCTGTTGAAAGAGAAATTTTGATATTTTGCAACTCTGCTTAAAAGAAAATGATATAAACTTTACAATTACCACAGTATGTAAAGTAATTAGTGTTTTAGTTCAATAGTTCTGAAGCTTTTCTGTTTCATGTAAACCTCTTTGTTTTATTTTTTGAGCTAACTTCCCACTAATCATTGTTTAAATCTCAACATCAAAACTCTCAGTTTTGAAAATGTCAACGCATTTGAAAATGTTTTTGAATGGATGATTAATTCTGAACATATTAAAGTTTTGATTAAACAATACTTCTAAGAAGAAGAAAAGCTTTCTTCATTTAAGAAACTATCAATTAACTTTGTAGGCAATATTAGTTGAATCAGTTATCGGCAAGAGAATGTATAATTAGCAATTTTGAAGTGAACTAGTTGGTAAATAGCCTGAACATTCAGCATGGCTGAATCACCCAACTCTTGTAGTTGTAATCTAATTACAATACTTTTTCATATATGTAAACTGAATAAACTGATAGACTACTATAAGTCACTGAAACTGCTATACTTTGAATCTGTATCATATTTCTTATATAAAAACGCTAACAACAAAAATAAAGGAAAATTAACATGAAAGCAAAGGATGAAGAAAAAAGAATCATTGATTTACTTCCATATGGAGATGAATAACAGAAATACAAAATGTTAGGATGAATTTTGATGACGTGATAAAGCAAATTACTCCATTAGTGTTCCTCTCCTGTCAGAAAAGGTGTCATGGTTTTGTTGTATAGAGCTCCACACAGCAGATTTCTATCTGCAATGCTTGCCCATAGTATGACATGATCCATCTGTGAACAGGCCAAATTTCATTTTCTGGTAGTTCATTGTATGGTGGGGCCTCTTAGCATGATACTACTGCTTCTCAACTTTTTACCTTCAGGCCAGTCCATCACCACTTTAGGATTCCTGGACAGCTGAGATTCTCCTTTCAATCACCTGGCTTGTCTCTGTTGCAGGTGCCGTCTCATCACAGCATTAGAATAAGGCCTTTGGCTTTCAGACGCTCGCTCTCATTTCACTTATTAGCTCCAATTCTAATTTTATTGTATTATATTGTATTATAGTGCGTTATCTTGCATTCCGATATCTTACTTAGTAAATAAGTTTGTTTCTCCTCAGATTGTTGCCACTGTTTTGATTTTAGACCCATTTCCCATTTTTCTGGGTTTGGATCCATGGGTTTCCCAGCCCCGCTAGTCACAGAATCAGGCCATACCAGCCCGTAAAACACTGACAATAAGAAATAATATTTTAAGAGTAGTTGTATTCCAGTTAACGGGAGTTACAAATATGGTAGATGTGAGAATTTATACTGTACTTGATATTTCAGCAACTTTGCACATATGAAAATCTTAAATTGGGGCTTAAATCTTCTCACGGTTCTCCAGAAGATAATGTTTATGATTGCATCAGCTCGAAATGATTATAAAATAATTCTGCTGTGTAGCAGCTTTCAGTTGGTTATGTTTTCTGGATGAGGCACTCTGCTTTGACTTTACTGTCTCTGTTCTATGTCTACCTGAGTTGAGCAATCCTCTCAAAACAATTTTAAAGCCCGGGTTCCTGCTTATTTTTTACTTGCAGACGTTCTTTACTTAATCTACAGTAGGATGATCAGTAGTACTCTTTGCTATTGAGGAGTTGATGTGAAGATCCTTCTAGAAGTCTAGCCCAGTGATGCTGGATGGATAGTGTCTCCACAATGGCAGGTAGAGTGGTTGGAGCCCGCCAAGTCAGACTCAAGTGCTAGGGATATAATGTATACACAGGAAAGGGCACTTTCCAGAACACTGGGTATCACCATAACTATTTTCTGGGGTACCAGCTGGAATAGATGTAGTTCTGGAAGTTTTGTAGCAGGTTCATAGTGTATAAAAAGCATTAATTTGGCAACAGATTCATATCTAAGGGTGCTCTTGTAAAGCAGGAAAGATGCAGTTACTATTATTGTTGATAATAACATTTGAGTGCTTTTTTGAGGGCATTAATATGAAATGACAGCAGTACTCCATGTGCTTTTATAAATTGACTTGGCTACAGTCCTTCTTTTTTGGACTAGAAATATTTCTGATAATCCATGTGTTGGTCACAGCTGTCACAGCTGTTAAAGTCATCTAATGGATACCCTGTACATTTTAGTGGAATATCTGGACAGGGGATCTTCCATTGCATTTGGGATGATTTTTTTCTTTCAAAATGTAATAATGAAGCTCTTTTGTGTGTGTGTGTGTCTGTGTCTGTGTGTGTCTGTTTGTGTATTCATTTCAGTGCATCATTATTAAAAAAAAAAAAAGTTTTCTTTTTTCTTTTTGATAAAACTTCTAAATTTTTAATGCAAATGAACTTCATTAAAGCTTTGGTATGAATGTGCTTTTCACAAATACTTGTTTGGTACTAGTAGTTTGAAAGTTATTCTGTGTATGGCTACATGTAAATATGTTATTATCTCTATCAAAATTGCTGTAATCAAAGACCGATAATTTTAGATAACACTTTTTTATTTAAAAAGTAGAATTTTTTCAAGGCCCAAGGGAATCTTAATGATTATACTCAGCTATAAAGCTTTCCGTTTCTGTGGCCATGTGAGACTATGCTCTTTCTCTTCACGTATTTAATAATACGCATCTCTTGAGGAATATTATGTATAAATCCTAAAAATATGTCTGTGGCCTTTTGACTGTGGGTTTTGGTAAGAGTTTGAGGATTTATTTGAAGCTGTGGCTTTGGTTATTTGAACACTATTGTTTACTACTGAACTGTTCTGCACTGCAAATAGCTTGGTTTTAAACACTAATCTGTTACCAGTTGATTTCCTCTTGAACTGATGTCACTGTTTCTTTGAAACAGAAAACAAAATTTTAATATCATGTTTTAATCCTGATTTAAACAGATCAAAATAGATTACAAAATTAATGAGACAGATACCTTTCTTAACATTTCACGTCATCACATACAGGTAGCAATGAATGGAATCCACATGGAAAGACATTATTTCAGACAAAAGGACAGGGCCTCTGTTAATGATTGGATATCACATTTTGACAAATGGGACATCTTCTTCATAGTTTACCCTTAAATTTGTACTGTAGATTTGAGGCAAAGTCCCGTCTATAGGTCCTGCACATCTCAAGCCATTGCTATGCTGTAATGATTCATTGATTTCATTTCCATCAAGAACTCCCTCAAAATACTTTCATCAAAATGGATGGGTTGACCAAAAAGAAAACAAAAGAAAAGAGGTGTGATTACCATTAAAGACAACCTAGTTTGCATGTCTATTTTCCTCACTAAAGATACTTGTGATCTTTAGATTCTGGAAAATAGAATTCAAAGATTGACTGTTCTTGAAAACTAAATATCTTATTTTAAAAGCTAATCTAAAATCAGTGGTATTTAGCATAGGAACACAGTTCATGTTTTTTTCCCCATTCAGAATAAACACAACTAAGAAAAAGTGCTGATCATAGGTATGTTTTGGTTGTCCTATATCGTTCTTCTAATTCTGACATATTTTTCTTTTGTTTCTCAAGACCTAAAGGAGAGTATATTTAAATATACAATTCATATTCATTCATTCTGAAGGTGTTTCCATCACATCAGCAATATAATATTTGTGAAACTTGCATTCACTGGCTAGATTTCCTTTCCAGACAGAATTAAAGCACGATAGATCAGATGCTGACTAACAAATGAAGTTTTAAATTGGGAGCAAAAATTTACATATTCTTAAGATGTATTTTTGTCATTTTGGTAATTATAAAGAAACAAGAAAATAATCTCATACTTATTGTGATGCTTACTGGGAAAAAAAGCAATGGATAGATTGCATATTATGCTGCAATTACTGTTGTTTTGTTTTGGTTTTTTTTTGAGTGTGTTTATAACAAAATCCCATACTTCTCTAAACTATCTACAAATTTTTGTCACTTCTGTAGGAATTGTATTGGGCTTCTAAAAAGCAATATGCCTTTCAGTTATTTGAAATCATTAAGTGAGGTCCATAGCTACAAAAATAAAAGTGGTAGCCAGAGGGTGCAGTTATACCTAAGAATCATCTTTGATGTTGCAGCTACTTCTGCCCAGGAAGAGAGGCAGCAAATATTATATTCAGGTGGGTAAGAAGGAAGCAGTGACTTTCGGTAAGAAAAAAAAAAAAAATGCATAATGGCAAAGACAGATGAGCTCTAGATGCCAAAACCTCTTGATACAGCTCTGTACATTGTACTGTATACAATTTTATAATTTTTCTTAAAATTCAATTATTTTCCTCTGAGCTTGATCATCTAGTTTTTAAGAGTATTTATGTGTCCAAAGTTTTTAATTAGTATTGAGAAAGAATAACCAATTATTTTGATTAGATTTATGAAAGATACCAACGTTGGAGAATAAAGCAAATCGATTTGGGGATATGTTTGGTACCAAGATTTAATCCAACAATTTGAACAAAGAGTCTAAAAAATATATAGGGGGATAATCAGTAGGTGCATGCACAAGGTACTACATTTAGCACAGAATAATCAACTTCACAAAAGAAAATGGTTCTGCAGTAGTTCTGGAAAAAGTCCTGGAATTTATGGAAGATGATAATCTTGATAGGGATTAATCTTATGCTGTTATTAAAAATGCAAATAGCAAACTGTTTTAGATAATCATGTGTATATAACTGGCAGGATTTGATCCTTTGGTTCTTCACAGCTCTTACTGGCTACTCCTAATGTTGAAAATATGATTTTTAGGAACTATGTGGTTTACAGAATTTCCAGGGAAGGAGAATGACAATAAGCAAAAGTGTGGGAAACATGCCCCAAGGGAAAAGATTGTACAAACTAGTCCAGCAAAACACTTAATACCATTAAAAATAGACTGAAAGTACAGTCACATTAAATATCACTCAACACAGCTGTTTATATTTGACATGGGACACATTTGTCATGGCCCACCTGCCCCCTGCCCTGCCCAGTAGTCCATATCTGCCCAGCCTATCGCCCACAGTCCAAATCTTCAAGCAGCTTTTAGAGAGCTGCCATATTTTCAACTAAGCACCCAACAAAGAACAAAAAACCTGTCTTTCTCCTCTGTGTCACAGAAAGTACATTTTTTTCTGCTGCTGTCAGCAAAATAAATAAATATTTCATGGGGCCAAGTTTTGAAAGCAGACACAGTCTGTATCACCCTCTAAGCAACAGCACGTGAGTTTCTGTATACTCCTAAACCAGTCTGAATACACAGGAAGAGGCAAATGTACAAAAATGGCATTTTCATTTGACTGTCTAGCTTGCCTTTTAACAGGGACTCTTGCTAGTTGACAATGCTTAGATATGCTTTCCAGAGTTACAGATTTTCAAAATCATCTAAGTAAAAAGGAAAAATATTTGGAAAAGAACCTCTTGTGATGTAAGGAGTAAATTGAGGTTAGTCTTCAGGAATTAAAAATGCCTGAACTTGTCATGTTGCTACAGTCAGACTTTCATCCACACTATAGATATAGACTGAATGCCAGTGAAAAGCTCTGCATGACACCAGTGGTGGGTACTCATTGAATGAGAAGTCTATAGTAATATTTTCTCTTTTAAAAATCAGAAGTAGGCATTTTGAATACTGTTATAAAACGTTTTGCTTATCACAAATTTAAACTTGTAACCTTAGTTGCTTGACTTTACACATTAGCAGTGACTTCCTTTAACAGTTTAGATGGCTTCTGCCATCAAATAAATATAAGTAGCCACTGCTCTATTAAAGCTCTTTGCTAACTGTATGAACAATTTACACTAAATTGACATACGGGAAAATACTCTTCTCAGCCCCTTAAAAAATGTATATCCCACAAATAAAATCAATTCAAAAATTAATGTTCATGTTTAAAATGCATGAAATAACTGTTAAATCTAGAGTGAAATAAGAAACAATATTTTTTGAATCTTAATGCTGTACAAAGTGCTGCAAGTAACAGTCATGATGATCCACTGAAGTATAATCTGACTCTTCTAACAGAGTGAAATTTGTATCTGTGCAGATGGCTCCCACATGGCCCATGCCTCATTTAAAGCCCTCTTAATCCTCCTTTTGAGAGTTCAAGTTGGATTTATGCAGCACGTAGTCCTTGTAGTGACCCTCAGCCTAGAGTGGATTTCGTTCTGTGCTGCCATTTTATTTATATTGCCACTTTAAGCAGCAGTGTGTTTACCAAACTGAGCCCATATCCCAGCATAAATCAATCCATTAGACTGTCTTCCAAGCTGTGAATACTGTTACCTTGTTCTTCTTCCTCTTCCGTCGGAATCGCAGGAGTTCTTTATGCTGCCTTGACACAAAATTTACAGCTGCGTATTCCAAAAGTGCAGAAAATACAAAGAGCAGACACACAGCCATCCAGATGTCAATTGCTTTGACATATGACACCTAAGAAGAAAATAGAGCAGAAGACTGAATATTTTCAGAGCACAGATGTAAAGTTTAGCATTTCATGTCAGGAAGAAGCTCGTTAATATCTCCAAATCCTAACAGTCGTTTATGAAACAAATTTTCAAATGGAAGTTCGACAGTAAGAGAGAAAACAGTGTAATACTTACATTTTAATGATTATTTTTTAAGTGTCATCTTTCACAAAATATTTACTATTTTTCACCCTAACAGTTTCTCTTAATGTACTGTATATTTTAGCATAAACAAAAAAATCCACAAGGATCACATGCTCTTCCTCCATTTTTCCCAATGAGATCTGTGAATGAGGCTAAGAATTACTCTGTTATACTTATTTAAAGTTCCCAGACTCGACATTAGGTGAAGTGAGATGCAAAACTCTGATATGTTCATTTTTTTCTGCTAATACAGGCAGAATAAATTAAAGATATAGATTTAAATTCAGTATATTGAAAATGAGTTACAGAACTGATGAACTCACTGCAGTCCTTCATTGCCAAGCTCAGCTGCAGAACATAATCTGGACTGGGAATATGGAACCCTCTCTGCGTAGAGATTTACAAGACTTTTATCATTTAAGACAGAAGAGCTAGCATCAGGCCTCAAGAATGTGACAAATACATCTGCATCTCCCTTTGGTAGTAACCCCTTATGTTCTTGCTTTTCAGAATTTTTACTGTGTTTCATTTTCTCATCTGTTAATGCTACACTCAGGCATACTGTGATCCATACACATGAGGTACAAAGCACATTTACTTCTGTTAGGGTTTTTTACTTTATCTAGAAAAATGTAATCAACAAATTTAAAAAATCCATGTTAAAACTAATACAGAAGTGGAATTTGTTTTTATTACGTACATTTTTTCCCCACTAACTGCAATGAAGACTGTTGAGAAATAATAACTGAAAGGAAAAACAGTCTTTAAAGCAATCCCCTTAAGAAATTCGGTCATATTTGGTAGCATTTTACTAGATATTGGGATCCAGAAAAGGACAAGCTAGTTAATTGATATCAAGCAACACATTTGGTACAGAAAAACATTGTTTTCATCGCTTGCTGAGGTATGTTAATTAGCATGCTGTGGGATAAATAGTTCAAAGCTATTTATCTCCTTCAGAATAATAAGTGTTAGTAATTAAAACGTATAAGATTGACTTAAGGACTTTATTTGCCACATAATGTTTTTATTCTGTATTAATGCAGTACACACAGAAGAAATTCCACCTACCTTCGGAAGTGATGCTCGTGAGCCTGAGCTTTGTGTTGTCATGGTCAGTACAGTTGTTATGCCTAAAGCCACTCTGGCTGGAGCTGCATCCATATTGATCCAAAATGACACCCAGGAGAGAATCACGATCAAGAGACTTGGTATGTACATCTGGATGAGATAGTAACCCATCTGTCTCTCGAGGTGAAATCGGACTTCAATACACGTAAACTTTCCTTTTTATAACAAAGAATAAATATTCAATAGAAATATATTGTTATCTAAAGAGTGTATACTGCATCAAATATATTTCTTCTCTAATGAATGGTGAGTGTTTAATTCCCCTTGTGTGACTTTTAATATGTGCATTACACCAATTCAAAAGGATTAACTCCTGGAAAGAAAGTTGTCTGAATAACTGCAAATTTAAGAATTCAATAAGCTCTGGAACACTTATTTCCTTATATATGCAAAGAAAAACCTTGTACTCCCCTTATGTTTTGGTCCAATTTTATGCTTAAACAAGTTTTTCTTTATTCCAATGAATCGGAAGAAAACATAGTGAAAACAGTGCAGGTGCTAGGTCATCAACAAGAGATCCTGTAAAGTACTTCCCTTCACCTCCATTCAAATTGTTTCAACTTAAAAACAGAAATAGAAGACTTGCAAACGGGCTACTCCAGGAAACTGATTGAGTGGCCTGATTTTTCTGAATACTGAGCATCAAGCAACTTCTACTGATATCTACATGCGTGACCAGAGTTTTCTCTGATCTAGATATTTTACTCTATAAATTGTATATTTTTTCAGTGATCTTGACCTGATTGCATTATATTTTCTAATTCTTCTCAATGCTTGCATTAATTAGACACAAACGGTGTTGAAGGCAATGTTCTTACAATAAATACTGTATATATGACAGAGTTTATCATAGCAAGAAATATATATTTGACAGGTTTCTTACCTATTTGAATAAGAGCATTTCTTAATTCCAAATTTAACATGGAAAGACATTTAGTTATTTATTTCTTAATTGATAGGAGGGTTTTCTTTTTTGCTATGCTTTTGAGTAGTTTTTGATAGCATTTTCCTAATCCAGCTTTATCTGTTTTATAAGAAATGCTTCCATTAACACTGCTTTAATATTTATCATACTAATGACATTAATGCATCAGATTTATGAATGAGTCAAAGAATAAGCTTGTTCTTTACTCGGTATACTATATGTTATGCTCTAACATTAGGCATTCACAAATGAATTCTAGATAAAGTCAAAGCATAATTAGTGCTTGGAATTATATTCTGGACTTTGTTGTTTCCATAGTATTTCTTTTAATAGGTCCCTAGTTATTTCTACAGTGCTATAGTAAATTCTATTGTGTGAAACCTTTATTCTGACAAAGAAAGAAAGAAAAAATCAACAACCCACCATATTTACAAAGGCAGTAGTTATAAAATGTTAAACGCACAAGTTGTAAATCTAACTTCACTGAATGTGTGACTTAATATTCCTGCCTTCCTTTTAGGCCCAGGGATTTTTCTGCACCTGCCAGTCCTGCCAGGAGCTGATGGAATTACACTGACTTTGGGATTTCCTCCTCAGCTGTAGTGTGCTTCCCAGCCAAGACTTCTGTGTTCCTCCTCTCCTCTGTTCCCAAGTAGTGCTGAAGAATTAACTTAATAGGAGGCAACTTCCCAGGAAGATAGATGGCTACCCAAATAGAAACCCTTCTGTTTCTGCACAGATTACTGGGCTTTCCCATCCATGAGAGACATAAGAGAAAAAAAGCAGCAGACTGAAGTCAGTCTCAGCAGAGACCATTTGCAGCAGTTCTTGGTCTAAGCATGGAAAGCGTATTGTTAGTTCTTGCCCTTCCTGGCTGAGATCAGAACCACCTACATAAACTTGGCTGATGAAGCAGAATGGAAATATAGCTTTCGCACTAGCAGATGTGAGCTTCAGAGGCTGTGCTGTTTTTTCCTAGCTGAAGCCATCATCCAGTTGTGAGCTCCTGTTCTTTCCCTGTCCCTTGTCCCTTTGCCTCCTGTACCTTAGATATTTACAGACATTGATCAGACCCTCTCAATTCAGGTTCTCACTAAAGCAACCTGTTCCAGCGTGCTGTCATTCTGACAGTAAAGTTCTTCCTTGTGTTAGTATGGAAATTCTTATGTTCCAGTTTCAACCCCAAAAGGTTGCAGATCCAGGGGTTATAAATCACTACTAAAATCTCAGAAACAGTGTCTTAGGTAATTGTCAAAAAGCATGAGGGTTTGAGTTCTTGTTGACAGAGGAAAGCATCAAAGCTTGGTTCTCCTTCTTTAGGCACTGTCATGTTAGTAGCAAAAGGACCCAATGTAAGACATGGTCAGTAGTAGCTGTGACCTAGAAGAAGCACAGTCTGCAGGTTGTTAAGTGATTTATTTGGCTTTAAGAGGAAAGAAAGACAACCATGGGAAAAATTGTGTATGGACTGCATATGTTGAGAAGTTGAATAGGTTGAATGGGGAAGATGAAGTTAAAGAATTTGGCAGGTGACCAAGATTGCAGATTTACCAAATTAGAGATACAGAGACATTAGAAACGGTCTCTTACAGAATCTATCAGTTCTGCTGGTGAAAAATAGCCATGCCTGTGCAGTTTCCAGGATTGCTACAAACAACACTTTGAGTGAAAAAAAACCCCAAACCAATCTATAGACAACACAGTTCAGAATATTTTTAATCAGGATTATGATTAGTATAGTATCTGTGGTGATGGAATTATTCAAATTTCATTTGTGCTTGCTAGACAATGTTCATTATGTATGAATTTGTCTATGTATGTTGGTCTGTGCAGCTACTGGTACTTGCAGTTGAAAACTGGGTGTTCCATGAAAGCCCAGCATGCATGTGACACAGTCAGGGTAAGGCAGGACCATCCTTGGAATGTGAGAAGTCACATACGACTTTTCTGGCTATAGAATTTCACTTCATTTTCTAAATTTGTCACTGTAGACATGCCAGAGGATGTAAAAACAGATAAAAATGATCATAAATATCATTGCATCAATTCAAACACAAGACTTCATGAGCCATTATGCTGTGCTGTTGCTGAAACTCTTCCATCCCTATACTTGAAGAACTTTATATATGTTATTTTTAAGCTACAGTTACAGCAATCCATTCTCAATTGGACATGAAACTCTAATGAGGGCATGCACTGATTAATTCTTACATACTGTCCTGAAGCTTCAAGTTAATTAGTTTCACAGGAAGATTTTTAAATATTTCTTTCTGTTCTACAGAATGTCTCTCAAAAGCTTTCTATCCTATGTTGCACCTAAACTTAAACAGGAAAATTATATTTGGTCACATGAAATAAATTACATGGGAGTTTCTTGTGGAGTATTCTAAAAGGATATCTGTCTACGGGGTATGTGCTCAACCTTCTAAATTTTTGTTGTTGTTGCTATCTTTCACTTATGTGTTAATAAACAATAGTAAAAAAAAAAAAGATGTTTTGCTACCTATACACATTAATTATATTATATATTTTATCCATGGCTCAAGACAATTTCTCTTCAGTCAGTGTAGCCATGGCAAGCCAAAAGGTTAGAGACTCATGGTCATGGCTCATAGGTTATGAAGAAAAAGGTGTAAGCTCAAAAATGCTGAAAAAATAAAGCTTCTCTCAAAGTCAAAGGTTGAAACTGTGATGATTTTAATGAGAGTTCTCAGGCAAACTATCAAAATATGATTCTACTTTGGATGAGAAATTTGGAGAGAAATCACTGGAAAATCTGGCATTTAAAATAAGTTTCCATTCAATATCAGATTAAGTCTGACAGTAATGTTGTAATTCCTGAGTTAGAGATTTTTTCATGAAATGTTCCAATGAACTTTGGAAAACTGTGGAGAATACTTTCCACTAGATTCTTCTTTGATAATATCATTATATGGTTTGTGGAAGCACAGATATTGGCACACATAAAAAGCACAAAATCAAGAGAGCTCTAAAAGTGAAGCAGTGGTTGCCTTTATCTCTAGAAGACAAAGACAAACCATATAAGTAAGTTTTCTTGTCTGTCTTAAGGATTATGCTAAAAAGAATAAAGGAATAATATTAATTTGAGCATAATTAACAAACGTATTTTTGAGTGGAAGAATAACCTTCCTGTAGAACATGTATCTCCACCTCTGGAAGCTCATCAAGGATCAGACAGATATTACTATTTGTACGGTAAAGGTGCACGTTACATATTTTTATTTTGTTTCAGAGAACACCTTGAATGTTGGTTATTCTATTCATTCTAAATAAAAACCATTAGAGAACCTTCAGTTCTCTACCCTTAGGGTATCAACGCAGCTGTGATACATTCAGTGTTGAAAAGCACTTTTATTTTATTTTCACTGCAATAGGACATTCTTTATGAATGCTGCCTGTTGAATTTTCTCTCCTCTATCAATTCAGCAGAATCCAAATAAAGTGCTTTAAAACTTAAATTTCAAGTTACGTTTAACATATTAATAATCACATTGGAGAGCAGACTTTAAGAGAGAATGAATGAATGAATGAATGAATGAAAGAATCTAAATTGTGTGCTTTGTTTTTAACTTGAGAAGATGGAAGCTGTGCACTCTTAGCATTTGCTATATATATTTTTGGAGGATTATTATGCTTGTGATCATTCAATTTTCAAGACAGTTTTGTTTACAATTAGAAACAAAATGACTAAATTAGTATTGATAAAACTTTGTTTTTCCCAGTATCCTAGAGATAGATGGTAAGCTAAACATAACATACAGTTCTACAAAAATCTCAACTCAGGAAGGCTGCATCTAGTTTGGACACTCATCTATTGTACAATAAGGATACTTTCAGCTGGTCTGCATTTTTCCATTGCCATTAAGAAATAGAGCAGGGATAGCTGGCCTGGAAGAAGAAACAGGCTTTTCCTGATGTAGCCAGGCAGAGCTTAGTGCACAGCATATGGACTTTTTGGTCTTGGCAGTGCTTCATATCCTGAAGTATAGATGTAGTCATGGCATTCACTAAAAAACAAAACTCCTGACTGAATTGCTTCTTTCATATTATTTCAAATATGTATATTTCAAATATTTTTTTAAGCTTACTGAAATAGAAGTTTTCTCAGCCACCAGGTGCATTTCACTGTGTCAATTATTTAAGACAATCTTGTCCTGAAAAATGCACCTGTATGTTTAAATCTTCTTGTGAGTTCATTGAGAATATTAAACAAATAAATCTCTCCAAAATAACAATGAATGTAAAATGATGTTTTTTTGGTTTTAATCACTAATATGCTTTCCTACCTGTATTGTAATGCTTGGTGCAGTAACACAAATCCTTTTCTTCTTTCAATAGAAACTGTGGCAGAGTGAGTCCTTCTGCTACTTGAACTGCTCCTTTTTCTTGCCATTCAAAAATGAGATCATTCATTGTGTATCCAACTGAAAAAAAAATAAATATAAACTCTAAGTCAGCAGCAAACTTTGAAAAGCAGGGACATATCAAATAGTGATGACTTCAGCAAATGCCATTAAAGTAGAAAATGCAACGGATCTCTTTGGGCTAGTTAACAAAAAAGCATTATTTACCATTCTAAGCCACACTGAGGTAGGAAAAAAAGAAAGCTTTCTTTTTTTGAAATCTTAATAGTTATGTAGCATCAAAATCAGCTATGTTTGGCTCATTTTTATGTATTTATCCTCCCTTGCCCCATCATATCTGCCTTGCATTCTATATGGAGTGAAATGTTAGACTGTCAAAGTTATATTTATGGGCTTATGTCAATTTGTATTAATTTAGATACAAATTATTGAAAGGAAGTAATGAAAATTTATCGAGCAGTGAGGTATTAGTTGAACTGAAAAAATACTTTTCTCTGAATCTGGTTGAAAACTTGGAAAAGCAATTGATCATAATCTCATACTAGCTGACTGTGAAGAACGAACTGGCACTCAATATTCAGATTCCTGTGTTTATTCTTACCTCATGGATGTAGGATTTAAATAAAAACTTAACATTTGTAGCTGAAGTACTAATCGAGAGGAAGACCTTGTAAAGAGCAAATAGTTTTTCCTTGTATTTCTATTTCTCTGATGAATATGTGCGTGAACTTTCAATGAGGAAAAACTGTTCTATATCCTCTGTATATGTCAGAAAATATATCTTTGAAATTCTATTCCAAAGTTTTTCTGGATAAATTGTCTGTTTGTAACAACTGAAAAAAAAATAAATTGCTTCCTTTTCACATTAAGGTTTCATTTAGTCTTTCTCAGGATTTAATGAATTCAGACAATGTAAGATTTTAAGACTGAAATCTAAAACTATTGTTGAAATAGCTTGACCCACAGGGGTACACTTGACTCATATATAATAGATTGAAGCATGAGGAAAAGAATGGAGTCATTTTTACATCTAAATTATACAGTTTTCCTTCATTTGCTTCTTTTCTGCTTTACTCCAAAGCCAATTAGCTGTTAAGAATAACCTGCAGATAACTGGAAATATCTTTTAACCTTTCAGTAACAATTTAGTTTTTAAATATAGTGTTCAGAAAATACTGAAATTTTGAGTTCTATTGAGGGAAATAAACTCTGTTATGCAGACGTCAATCTTTCCCCCATTGTGTTCGGTGACTTCATTACTCATTGAATACATCTATAAATACTATTCAGACATACTGTTTTGATATACTGGCCTCAAATCTGAAACACATTTCATCCATTTTAATATGTCTTTGTTGAATGTATCTGCACATTAAGAATCAGTGACCTTCAGATTTGTTCTGTTTCTTTTGGAGAATACCCTTAATATTAAGTTTTTTGCAAGCACTTAGGATACTGGTTTATCTTCTTTGGTATTTTGTTGGTACTAGTTGAAAATAATAAAAACAAACCCTTATCATTTTAAATAAGTGCTTCAGTAAGATCAAATGTTACATAAGACATTACATGCATGTATTAAATGTACTTTTTTTCATCTATACTTGCATGCATGACACTATAAACATGGATTTAAAATTCAATATAAAATGTCATAAAGTAGAAAAATTCAAAAATATAGCTCTTACCAAACTTTGCATGTATTCAGACAAAAAGCAGTTGTGTGTAAAGATTAGCATTTGAACCATGCAGATTATGGCCAGAAGTGATATCCCCTGAGTAAAACTCATTGAACTGACAAGAAACAACTGCTGCGTCAAAATGTATTTCACTAAATCAAATTCATTCATCTCTAATGCATTTTTAACTTTGAATATCTACTCTGTCCACTAATTCTTCAATAAATATAATATATGAAAAACAGTAAGTATATACAAAGTACTGATATAATTTTTACTGTCTACATTTTAAATACCCAAATACAGCTTTAACATTCAATACTGTAATTCTAGTTTTCTAAGACCATACTGGTACAATAAATATGTCCTAAAACATAGAAGAGCTTAATGGAGATAAAATTTTATGTTATTCCAAATAAAATAAAATAAAATAAAATGTATAATGTATATCTTACTTCTATTAGATATATCAACTTAGTCTCTATTAAATTTTTGTCCCTTTATTCAATGTGAAATACAAATAAACCAAACAAATGTGCCCAATGAATTAGTGAAATCTACAGTCAAATTAATTTTGAATATTGAACTACTTGATAACACTAATTTTTCTCTGGATTTTCTTTATTGAGCAGTGTTATCTATCCTTGATTTTCTAAATGAAAATATGTTATTGTTTGATACAGTTCCAAACAATTTGATGAATATGTTCTCTTTTCCACCTATCACATCATTCTTTCAACTCTGCATGAAAGAAAGCAAGAAAAACTACAGTGGAAAATATCTTGTTATTTGTAGATATGAAACAAAATCAGAGAATTTTTAAGAAAGAAGTACAAGAACAAACTGCTACTCCCCGAATATTCTGTGCAAAAAAGAGCTAAATCCCATATTGTTCTGTGTTATTTTTTTTCAGGAGTAAGCGGAATCTCATAGAGCTAAATGAGCTTCTTTGGTATCTCAAAACAGAAAAATATTTTTGTTTCTTAACTGCTTTCATGAAGAAGATCTGCTGCATAGCACAGTAGTTAGCACTTAGTGCTGGTGGGTATAGTTGTGTGCATGGGGCATGATGGGGAATAGAAGGATATCTATGAAAGTGGTTTTTAAAATGCAGACTAGTAGTTATTATACTGTGGTTTAAATACAATAACAATTTAAGTGCATGGTATTATATAAATAAGAAACCTAAAGATCATATATGGAGCATTTTAGTTTTGTGAGCTCTTTTGAATAATGTAACTTATGTTTCCTATTGAAGTGGTGCAGCATCATGAAGATATCATGGTGTATTTTGAAGCTACCATGAGGTTCAATCTCAGGAACAATGCCAAGTAGAAACTTATGATCTTGATATGAATAAGGCACCAAAGTATTTAGTATCATCAAACGTGGGGGGTAGTGTGCACAGCAAGTTACAGAAACATAGGGAGATTTGGTAAGGAAAATTTTGGAGTCTCAAGGTCAAAATGTTATTTTTTTAGATTCAGGATCCTAGAATTACCAGTCATAAATGTTTACAATATTGAAATTATGTGGATAAATTTAAAATCCTGAAGCCACCACTTGAGTTCAGTGGGGCTATATATATCATTCATGCATATGTATGTAGCAAACTGAGGCCTACATTTGCAAAATGGAAATCTAATTAGATACTGTAACAAAGCAGGTCTGCATTTACTTTACTCAGCTGCAGAATAAAACACACCCTCAGCCATCTGCGGCTGAAATAACTCGTACAGGAATAAAAATGAAGGTGAATAAAGTAGTTCACTGCCTGTACAAGATTGGCTACTCCTAGTTGAGCAAAAATGGATGACTGAAGTGAGTAATGAGCTCTCCTTGTGCTAGGTTTATACAGCACCATCTACACTGATCAAGCTTGTAATTAGAGCTGAGTGTTTCTGAAGCACAACCGCAATTAAAAATAATCGATCTGAATGCAGCTGTATTCAATAGTATAATTCAACAAGACATATCTTCTCTGTGTGGTCTTACATTCTGGCTGATACTCTTGCTAGGAGAGGAAAGGGCCCATTAGTTATGCTTTTTGTCTGTGTCTTGTACATATTCTAAGAGTGAAAAAGTAGGGCATTGTTAGAAGAAGCTCTGTTAGCTTCTACGTTTGACATCGCTGATGTACAGCTTGTTTCACTTCCTCTCAGTGAGTTTTCTTTCTAGTCTGTAGGATTCTTTTACAAATGGAAGAAAGAGCGTGTTCAAAAAGAAGGAAACTGCTATAGTAGTGACTGACCCACAATGTTGACTGAGGCATTCATAAGGAGAGTGCATTCACTTGGCAGAATGAAAGTTTGTGAAAGAGAATCAGGTGCTGTGAGAGTAGGTAAGATTTTATTTTCAGGTGTGCCACTTTGGATACAAGGAAAAAGAGGAGAAAATAGACAAGAAGGCATCTAATGGCAAGTTAATCATAGAATGAACCAGAAATCAATAAAGCTATAGAAGTACCTTATTAGTTTCCATGTAAAAAGGCTATGATGTAGCCTTCTATACTTAGAAGCAGTCTGATATAACTAGCCTCAGTTTCTTCCTAGATTAATTGCATGTTATCTCCCTTCCCCCTGAAATTAGAATAAACTACTTTGTTTTAATTTGGTAGTGTAATCTTCTGTGATGCTAGATGACATAGAAGGGACCATCATAAGAGGTTAAGGAGGATCATTCTGATTTTTAGGCTCCTACTGATATATGACTTTAGTGGCATGTTAGTAGCATTGCAAATGCTGTAATCTCCTCACCAGTAAATGGAAAGAGAGGCTTTAGAGTTTTTGTTCATAAAGGTGAAGGCAATTCCCCTGTGCTATTGGAAGGGGTGGAGCCTGGCCCCACCTCTCCTAGACCCCATTTAAGAGCTGACTATTACTAGGGAAGGATCTCTTTTGGAGATTGCTCCTCTTGGACTCTTCTTAGTGAGTCTAGGATAAGGGTAAGCTTTCCGTCCATTCTTCTGTAGCGTGATAGCCTGTTTAGCCTAACTTTTCTGTATATTTCTTAATTATAACGTCCATACGTTCATTGATTGCACATACGAAACAGGACTATAATCCCAGAAGGAGATGGTTGCCAGACGGAGAAGTTCTCAGGAACAGTCAAGAACTGTGTGTATGTATAGCACTGTGGCCTTTCAGAAAAACAGCTTTTTAAAGAGATAACTCATTTTCTGAACCCTTAAGTGATTTTTAGTAGCCACTAAAGAGCGTACTGGCAGACCGCTGTCTGAGATGAATATGAAGAACTGGCAAACTGAGTAAAATTAGTCTTAACTTTCAGCATAAAGGCTCTGAAACAATTAGTAAAGTTGGATTTGGCCTGCAGAAGCTTTTCTTTAAATCTTTAGATCTAGTAGAGAACTTGTGGTGAATGTGG